AGAGACAGATGTGGAGAGACACAGGGTGAGACAGATGTGGAGAGACACAGAGAGAGACTGACGGAGAGACAGGAAGAGACAGATGTGGAGAGACAGAGACGGGGATGGGTGGCAGGGGCTCTGGTGGGCAGGGAGCAGAATGGGGGAGTTGGACAGTGACTGGCTGGGCCTGGGTCTCAGGCCCACTGCTCCCCACAGGCCACGTGCATTGTCAGATTGAGTCCCTTTCTTGGCTCTTAGCTGCAGCTGTTTGGAGCCGTTGGTTCTTCCAGGCCTGCTGCCTCTCTAAACAGAAAAGAGGAGCAGAGCCCCGAGGACTGGCGTTCACAGACACCGCCTTTGCTCTTGAAGGCTCCTCGCAAGCTCCCTTGATCAGGGCCTTGACCTGGGCCCCATGGGCCTCTCTGGCAGTAGGTGCAATGTTTCTGAAATGGGGCCAATGTTTAAAAGTCTGGAATTTCCCTTAAAACCCAGATTTTGGGATTGTCTTTTAAAATCTGACATGGTCTTGAAGCTAGAGGAGAAACATGGCTTGGGGGTCCCTGTCAACCCGGGTGCGCTAGGTCCCTGCCATCATGGGGCTCCTGGGACCATGCCCTCCGCACTTGTGATGTTGACTTGGATTTGGAAACGCTGTGTGCGCTCAGGTTTTTGGTGGCGAGAGAAGCAGCCCCTGAGGGATTTGCCTCTGAGAGAGTTTCCTCTCTCAGGCAGGGACAGATGGCTGCTCAGGCATGGCTAGCTTTATTTTCACTTGTTTTTGCCCTTCCTCATTTGTGTCCTGGTGGCTGAGGGCCCAGTAGGTCCCTCTGTGTTTGTCCCTCTTAGGCTGAGCTGAGATTCCCCTACAGTGCAGGGCGGCCGGGGTCCGAGGTGTGACCAGGCAGCTCTGACCTCCAGCCACCCAGGGAGCCGTCCTCCCCTCTGCACGGAGTGAAAGCAAATGCTCCTCGTCACCTGCCAGGTTCCTGTCGGAGCCGCTTCCACATAGTGCCAGAAAGAGCCACCACGGGCGTTCTGTCCAGCGAGTCCCTAAAGACGATGGTGGGTGGGTGGGTCTGGGGCTGACTCTTCTCCCCAGTCCTCTTGAGGGGTTTGTCATTGTGATGAGTTAGCACCAGTGCCTGGGCACTGGCTGGGGGACTTTGACCGCAGTGGCTTCAGGATCCCTGCCCTGCACCCACCCCGCATTAGGGAGCGTCCAGCTGCCCTCACGTCCACCTTGGCCCAATCTGCTGCCCAGGTGACCCAGACTGTGAGGGGCCACAGGCACTGGGGGTGAGATTGGGCTCCACAGCCTCCCCACTCCAGCAGCACAGCTCCTGGGAGCTCCCGAGATGCACACATGGCCCGCCCAAGGCCCGAGTCAGAACCCGCACTTAGGACGTTCCCAAGATTCACGTCCACTGGAAGCTTTTGAAGTTCTGGGCCGCGGTGTGGCGAGAGGACAGCCAGCCAGAGAGACCTGTCCAGCCCACTCCAGGGCCGCGTGGGGGTGGTGGTTGTAAAACATTTGATTTTTATCTTGACAGTGTCCCTTTAAAAAATCAAAGCCGCACCCCGCCTCCCTGACCAGCAAGAAACCTAAAAGGGAAACAGTAAGTGTCCGGTCCTCCGGCTGCGTTTTTTTGCCCCTGCCCTCATTTTTACGTCCATGACAAGTAGGGGAGATGGTTTCTGCCCCAGGCTAGTGTCTGATTCGTGTAACCCATCCGCTCCGCTCTCCCGGTCACGGCCTCCCTGCTCAGGGAGTTTGTGGAACCAGAAAAGCTCTCGGTCTGTGGGCGAAATGCCAGGCTCGCTGGCCCCGCCGCCCTCCCCTCAGCTTTGCCTCCGCCCCGCGTGGCCCCCGTGCCGTTTCCCTTTTTTTTCTTGCTGGCAGTGGAATGGACGTTGCAGGCGGAACTAACGTCGCTGCTGCGTTTTGCAATCGCGCCCCACGCATGCTTCTCGGCCCCGCGTCCCACTCCTTCACCCTGTGGGTTCGAGCTCTTTGGGCTGAGGACTTTGGTTTTCTTGGGCTGTCCCTGTGCCCCAGGGAGCAGGCAGGGGGACCAGCACATGATTACCTGGAGCCTCCGTGGCCCAGGGAGACCCAGCCGAAACCTTGCGGGCCTTGGTGTAGAGAGGTGGAGGCCTCTCCGGAACCACCCAGAGCGCATTTGCCTTTCTAGAGGGGTGAGGGGCTTCTGTGTAGTTATTTATGTTTAACTTGGAGGCAGGTACGGGAGCAAATGTGGGGGACACAGAGGTCCAGAAAAGCATCCCAGGCTCAGGGCCTGGGCCATGCCCACTCCCCGATTTCTCCCCCAACTCCCCGCGGGCCCCAGGCCCCCCCCCCCCCCACCCATTTCACCTTCCCTTCCAGGAGCTCGGTCAGGCAGGCCCGGCTGTCCTGAAGGGAGCAGTGACTAGCGGTTTGCCCCTCAACCTGGTTTTGTGGGGACAGAGCAGGGGCCCCTGCAGTCTGACTTCCGTTCCCCGGAACCTGAGCATTTTCCTTCTTCGTCAGCCTTGTCGATTCTGCTCCCAATGAGGGGAGAACAGTGGCTCTTAGCCACGGCACCCATTAGAATTGCCTGGAGGAGGCCAGCCCCCAGAGGCCCGGGCGGGGCACAGCTCCCGACAGCTCAGCTTTCCCTCGTCCAGGACACCCCGACCGTGTCTCTCGCCTCTGGCATGGCTTTGCTCTGCCCCTGCTCCCAGCTCCTGTCTGTCACTAACCCTTCACTCTCCACCTGTGGCCAGGCGGGACTGAAAGCCAAGGAGGGGCTGGTTGAGGCCAGGGCTGGGGCGGCTCTTGGCAGATGCCCTCGTGCCCATCATCCCGGGCACCAGCATGGGCATTTGGGCATCCGGCCCCGTGCTGGAGCTGATGTCTGAGGCAGGGAGTGCGTCAGTGCTGCCAGGGAGCTCTTGGCCACCCTCTGAGGATGGGGGAGTCTAAATCCCCCAAAGGACAGAGTGGACAGGAGGTCATCAGGAGGAGGGTCTGGGGAGCAGGTGGTCCCTGGGCATGAGCCCCCTCACGCACCCTGTCCCTACAGAGCTCTGACAGCGTCCCACCTGGCTACGAGCCCATCTCACTGCTTGAGGCGCTCAACGGCCTCCGGGCTGTCTCCCCGGCCATCCCCTCGGCCCCTCTTTATGAAGAAATCACCTATTCAGGCATCTCGGACGGCCTGTCCCAAGCCAGCTGTCCGCTCGCCGCTATTGACCACATCCTGGACAGCAGCCGCCAGAAGGGCAGGCCGCAGAGCAAGGCCCCCGACAGGTGAGCGGCAGCCAGGCTGGGTGCATGGCGGGCGGTGGTGCCACGTGTGTGGAGCAGGCGTATTTGTAGTTTCAAATCACTTTATGATGTGTTCCTTGTGGTGATCCCCCAGAAGGACTCAGAGACCCCACATCAGGTTAGACTCGTGGATAAAGTTTCTTACAGCAAAGAACGCAACAGACGAGGCAGGAAGGGCGTCCGGGCAGCCGGAGGCTTTGACCCCCCACCGGGGCTACACCGGCGTGCAGGCGCATACACACTGTCGAGCGGGAAGCTGCAGGGGTCAGTGCTGTGTCTCTACTGAGGGGAGCCCCTTTGAGCCTCTGGGTTCCCGGACTTCACTGGGGGACTGGCCACATAGGCCCACTCTGCGGGTGACCAGCCAGGGCATCCGAAACTCGGGACCTGACAGTGACCCAGGCACACTCACTGCTCTTGCCGTTCGCCCGTGACAAGCCACGGGGCGTGGCTCTCCAGGCGATGATTGTATCATCCGTCACTCATACGACAGACTTCCGAGGGCGCGGCTCCTGGGGTTGGCCACGGCTCATTTGTGGTTCCCCTGGAGCCTCGAGGTGTCTAGAGCGGCGGCTGCCAGGGGAACTCCGTGCCTCAGGCCTGTCGGGTCTCGTAGAAGAGTTTCAGGAAGGCGGGGTTCTGCAGGGCCGTCCTGGGCACCCTCCATGCCCACGAGGAGGCAGCGCCAAAGCTCAGAGGAAAGGGGGCCTCTGTCCCTGCTGCTTCTCCCCGGGAACCACCAGCGGTTTCTCCTCCTTCAGAAAGAAAAGGAAACCCAGGCCTGTGCCAGTGTGTGGGAGCCCTCTGTCAGGCGGGTCTGTGGGGGCCGCTGCTGCCTGTTGGCCGTTGGGGTTGGCCCCTATGGCTGGTGATGCCCTTCTCCAGGCAGTGCCCTTGTGTGGGTTCTGGCAGGTGTGTGCAGGCCCCCAGGTGCCCTGCGTGGCTTTGGTAGGGTTAGCCTTCCTTGTTGCTGTCCTCTCACCCCTGCCCACCCTCCTCTGTCCCCAGCACCTTGCGGTCCCCGTCCTCCCCCATCCATGAAGAGGATGAGGAGAAGCTCTCCGAGGACGTGGACGCCCCTCCCCCACTGGGTGGTGCAGAGCTGGCCCTGCGGGAAAGCAGCTCCCCTGAGGTGAGGCCCCCCAGGGAAGCTTTGTGTGCCCGCCCTGGCCAGCCCTCCTCCAGCTTCTGTCGCTGGAATCAGACCCCATCCCACTGCCCGCCTGGGCACTCCCGCACTTCTAGGCCCTTGCTGAGCTGTGTGGCTCCTTAGCCTCGGTCTGTGGATGCAGCAGCCCCGGTGGAGCGGCTCTGTGGGTCCCGGGAGGGCCATACCCGATGGCAGCTTCTCCTGGAGGGGTGGCCGAGGCTCTCTCCAAGCTCCAGGCCACTTTACGCTTTGTTTTCTAGAGTTTCATAACAGAAGAGGTTGATGAGTCGTCGTCACCAAAGCAAGGTGAGCCCCTCCTTCCGTGGGTACAAACCGCATGCAGGGACCAGGCAGCCCTGGCTCACTGGGGTCTTAGGGCTCCAGGTGGCGTTGGGCCAGCACTTCTTCTGCCCCAGGAACCCTTGGCCAAGAGGCCTCTCTCGGCGGCACTGGGATCCCGGCTGGGATGGACTGAACGGGTGACAGGGTCAGGCCGCGCTGTTCACCCTGCAGGGCCGTCTGCCTGGGATGGGAACACCTGCCAGCGTTCAGTCCTTGTTTTGAAACATGAATGTGTGATGTTTCTATGATCAAAACAAAAAAGCCTCATGCTCTGAACACCCAGGACACAGTGTGAAAAAGGGGAAAAAAAGCCCCGTGCGGGGGATGGGAAGGAGGGAAATAGACGGGAAACACCTGGCTTTGGGGTCCCTGGAGAGCAGGTGGGGTCACGGTGGAGTCCTGCTGGAGCCCAAGCCTGGGGCCCCCACAGTGGCTACAAAGCTCTTGGGTAAGAGAGACGGCCCTGAGCCTCCTGCCCGGAGGGACCTGCCGGGACCTGGCCCCTGCCTGTAGATCCCTGACCTCGCCCTCCACCTTCAGGGACCCGAGCGCCTTCCATTGAGAATGTCCTGCAGGACAGCAGCCCTGAGCGCTGTGGCCGAGGCCCACCTGCTGACATCTACCTGCCAGGTAAAGGGACTGGGGTCTGGGGGTGGGGAGCTGGGTGCCTGTCTCAGTGTCCGGGGAGGGGGCCCTGCTCTGATGGTCGGTGCGTAGCAACAAGGGCTGGTCCATGGGAGCCCGGTTCTCTCCCTGGCTCTAAGCCATGCCCCTGCTATTGACCCTGAAGCAGGATGCGGGCCAGGGTCACGGCCGCAAGGCAGCCTCGTGCAGGGCCTGGCTCTTCCCTCCCTGGGGCCGCCTTGGCCACAGGAGGCGAGAGAGGCTGCCTGTGAGAGGCTGGGGTCCTTTTCCCTCTGCCTCCTGCTCCCTGCCAGGAGGGCAGATCCAGCCCCTCTGGGATCACCACATCTTCCCCCACCCCTGGTCGTATCAGGCGTCCACAGGCCCCATGCTGGGTGCCAGGTGAGCTCCTGGCAGTGCCTGAGAGCTGCAGACAGAGCAGGAGCAGGTGCCACATGCTGTGCTGGGTAGCGGGGGCCCTGGGCCACAGAGAGCAGGGGCAGTGTCTTCTGGGTCACCCTGCCCCAGGCCTGACATAGGCCACCTGATGCAGCAGCACATCCCAGGCCAGGGCACAGAGGACAGGTGGGGGCACCAGGCGCCAGCGGGGGGCAGCAAGACTGGGAGAAAGGGTTCCTCTTTTCACCTTGTCCAGAGGCTTGGGCCCAGGCCCGGTCAGCTAAGCACCTTCGTGTTCTGCTCTGCTAGGATAAGATCCTCAGTTTCGCATCCTAAGCTCCAAAGACTGGGAGGGAAGTGGGGCGCGTGTCTCAGCGCCTGCCGTGAAGCTGTCTGTGGCTCTGAAACTGGGATGAACAGCTACAGCGGTGCGTTCAGACATGACCCCAGAGCCACTGCGTAGGGGCAGGGCTCCTCCCTTGCGGCTGCCAGGCCTCTTCCCCCCCCTCCTGGCCCCAGGGCCCACCATTGCTCAGTCCTCCTGAGTCACCCGGTGACCTGGGCCTGGCATTGGGTGGCTGTGACGTGCTTTAGTTGGAAAGGGGCTCTTGTGTCTCTGGACTCTGGCTGAGCAGTGGCCTGTGCTCACGGGCTGAGAATGACAGGCTACAGGAGCAGGCACTGCCTCTGGTGCCCTGACGGCCACAGCAGCCTGCCCCCAACAACTCACAGCACAAGGCGTGTTTAGGACCAGCTTACCTTAAAGTGACACAGAATTCAAGTAAGGTCTTTCAAAGGACCTCAGATATTTCATTCTGTTGAAAACTTGGGGGGTGATCGGGGAGGGGCCAGGAGAAGGACCTCAGCTTCTGGGAGCCACGAGCGTGACATCTGATCCTGCAGGGTGGCCCCGTGGGGCAGCATCTCGGAGGCTGCGCCTCCCCTATGTGGCCAGGCCTGGGAATGATCAGGACAGCCACTGCCGGCCCACACAGATGAGGCCAGGACTCCGAGTCTCATGCCCCACTCCCAGGGGAGGGTCTCCGGCCTTCTTCAGGTCCACAGACGGGGGCAGGCAGCAGTCATCTGTGGAGGTGGCAGAGAAGAGGCCTAGTCTACATCGGGGCAGCCTGAGGTGAACTCCTGGGCCCCGGGCCCCCTCTTGGAGTCGGCTGCTGCTGAATGCCAGCAGGTCAGCCTGACGGCCTCAGTTCTGAGCCACGGAGAGCGTATCTGCCTTTGGGAGCCGTGTGGCGCCATCTCCATGGCTGTCAGCCTTGTCAGCACAGGTTTCTGTGTGTTTTTAAATCCATGTGGTGGCTCCTCTGTTTCAATGGCTTTTTCACTTGTCAGAGCCCTGGACTGTCTCCGTGTCTGTGTGTAAGGCATGATCACACGCAGGAGCCTGTGGTTTCTCATAGGGGTGCAGCCGCTGCCTGGCGGGGTGGGCAGCCTCAGTGAACCCTGGTGTCCCTGTAGATGGGAGGGCCCCTGAGATGGTGAACCCCGGGGCCCTGGTGTCCTGGAGTTTCCCTGGGCTCAGTCCTGTCCGGCCCCAGCCCCCTACCCAGGGCCTTCACGCCTGAAACCAGAGGTGGACTTCGCCCTCCAGCTCCTTCACGCGCCCTTCCCTCGGCTGCGGCGGCGGGAGCTGCGGGAGGGAGGGGCAGGGCCAGTGCGCTCCTCTGCATTGAATTCTGGCCGCGCTCTGCCTCCCAGCTGTGGTTCTCCTTCTGGGTTCTCTGTGGTTGCAGCAGAGCATTTGTTTCTAGACGGCCTTGACCCCGTCCCCAAGCTGGTGCCCTTGCTGTGGCTGTGCCAGCTGCTGCGCGCTTGCTAACCGAGCTTCCGTCTGTCTCTCCTCCTCTCCGCGCAGCCCTGGGGCCCGACTCCTGCTCTGTTGGTATAGACGAGTAAGCCGGTACGTGACCTTCCAGACGCGCTTCGGGGGCTCTGACGCGCGTCCTTGGAGAGAGGAGCCTCCCCTGCTCTCTGGCGGGGTTCCTTCTGGTTTTCGGGTCTTCGTCCGCATCCGTCTTCCCAGGGGCTCTGGATTCCGAATCCAGAGCTCTCCAGTGGCTGCTGCACCTTTGCCCAAGAAAGTGGCCTCCTGGGGGGTCCCGACTTTTGGGGCCAGAGGTCTCTCCATCTGGACTAGGCGGCCAGTCAGGCTCTTCTTCCAGCCTTGAGGGGCCCTGGAACAGTCCCAGCCCAGGCAGGGAGACAGACCCAGCCCAGGCGCGCCAGAGCCACTGTCCCCTGCAGGAGGCAGGAGCTTGAAGGATCAGGGCAGCACCGTGGAGGGAACCCCAGGGAGATGTGGGGCGACGTGTCCCGAGGGGAGAGCCCCAGGCCTGGGTCTGGCCTTGTTCTCGGTGGTCCCACCATGAGTTCCCATCGGTCCTGCAGCAGATGCATTAGGGCGCTCGGCAGGTCCTCTCCCGTGTTCTGGTCATGGCTTTAAGTAACAACTCATGGGGAAAAGAATGCGCCCCAGATTGGGAGAGCCCCTGTATCACCTGTTTCCAAGCTCAGTCCCCGTCTCTTGGAGGGAGTCTGTCCTTGAGGGGCCCTCTGGTGCCCAGGGCATAGTATCTTGTATCCTGGCCTGAGGGCGTCCGCTCACACAGCCACCTGCTCCCTCCTTCCCTTGTCAGCATGGCCTCCGTGGGCCTGGCGTCACCGTGGGCCTGGCGTCACCGTGGGCCTGGCGTCACCGTGGGCCTGGCGTCACCGTGGGCCTGGCAGAGAGTGCCTTGTGGGCTGCCTTTGTGCCATGAGCTGCCGACTCACTTGTCCCTCCCAGTACTGGAACCTTCTGGAACACCAGCACTTAGTGATAGAAGGCCCTGTGAGGCTGGCACTCCCCATTCCCCCCCTAAGAGGCCCTCCCCATCCCCCACAAGAGGTACCCTCTACCAGGGTGGCCAGGTGAATGTTTTACAGAAGGCCGCTCTGGCCAGGCAATGGTTCACACCTGGAATTCCAGTACTTTGGGAGACCAAGGGGATAGATCACTTGAGCCCAGGAATTCAAGATCAGTGTGGGAAACACAGACCCCCTCTCTATAAAAAGTAAAAAATTGGCTTGGGCGTGGTAGCTTGTGCCTGTGGTCCCAGCTACTCTGGGGTCTGAGGTGGGAGGATCGCCTGAGCTGGGGAGGTCAAGGCCCACTCCAGCCTGAGACCTGTCTCAAGAAAAAACACACACACACACACACCCATTCCAGCCTGAGACCTGTCTCAAGAAAAAATACACACACACACACACACACGCGCGCACACGGGGGAAAGAGAAGGCAGCTCCAAGAGTGCTAGCAAAATGTAGGCAGATGGATTGGTGACCCTCTGCCTTCCCGAAGGGTCTTGGCACACAGGCTGCGTGCAGCTCTGGTCTGCTGAGGCCCGTGCAGCCTGCTAGGAAGTGCCTGGCGGGGGGTCCAGGCTCTAAGAGGCCCTTTCCCCTTGGTGGACTTGAGCCAGGCCAGGGAGAACTTCGCTTCTTTTGACTGCGCTCTGCATTCCCACGAACCTCTGTCTTCTTGAGCCCAGCGAGTCCCTCTGTTGACCCCTCTCCTGAGCCATCATACCCCTAGACTGAAACGACACTCAGCACCTTTCAGAGGGGCCCGGCCAGCGCGTCGGTGGAAGGTGCTATGCGAATGTTACGATTCAGGTCAAGCTTCCAGAGGCGGGAGTGCCAGTGTGTTCTAGAACAGGGCTCACAGCCTCGGAACCCTGCTCTCGTCGCAGTCCCCGAAAAAAATAGCCGTCCTTCACCTGAGAGTGGGGCCTGGGCCCTGTCTACTGGGAGCCATGCGTCAGGGCTGGTGGCTGGGTATCGGGCAGCCCTGAGGCCATGCTGGCCCCGTCCCAGGCTCCGCACCAGCACTGTTGCCCAAGCCCCAGGGACGCCAGACCTATTCGGGGACAGCGCCTGGCGGCACCGTGCAGGCCAGTCTGGGTATTGGGGCTCTGTGGGAGGCTCCTCTTTCTGCCTTGCAGTAGCCACCTGGGGCCCACTCTGAGCACAGGCTTGTTCTCATCCAGGGCTGCTCCCCACCCCTGCACCCTAGGCTGACTGAGTTCCACTAACCCAGCCAAAGGACCTTGGCAGGACAGCGGCTGTTACATCCCAGGAAACTGACCAGCGCAAGGGCAGGAGACCCAGAGGGCAGCAGCCACGGTGCTGTGTCGCATTCTGACACGGGGCTGCAGCTCTGCTGCTGGTGTCGGGGGAGGTGGGGTCATTGTCCTGAGAGGGACACAGCGTATTTGGCTCAGCCGGGGAGTCCTCCGGCCCTCGGTGTGCTCTCATCTGAGTGAATCTGCTCTTCTGGCCACGGGCGGCGGGAGTGGGGGTGCCGGATGGCCCAGCCCCTTGGGGGGGCTCCAGATGGGTAGGAGCGGGTGGCGCGGGACCAAGCATCTGAGTGTGACCCTCCTCCCCTCCCTCTGCTCCCACCTGCAGGATGGCCCGCCTCCATGGAGACGGCCCACGGCCTCGGCACCACCAGCCCCACCTGGCCCCCACCTGGTGGCCCCAGCCCCGATCCCAGCACCGCCGAGCTGGCCCCACTCTGAGAGCCTGGCCGAGCTGGCAGCATGGAGTCCTCAGCTCCCCAGACTTTGCCGAGGGGCTGCCCCGGACCCCGGTGTTAGCCGGCCTCTCCTGTCTGCATGCCCCCTGTGGCCACCAGGCTCCGAGGGGCCATGGTGACCCTTGATCAAAGAGCACAGTGGACTGTTCCCTCCAAGTCTCCCTTTTCTACAGTTGATATATTTGTAACTGGTACAAGATGAAGGACAGCAGCTTTCCATCCCTCGTTCAGAGCCCTGGTTGCCCAGGGTCCCGCGGGCTGAGCGGCTGGGGCTGGGGCTGCCCACGTGCGGCCTGTGCTGGCTCTGCCTGCCCCCGCAACACTGCGGTCACTGCCCCAAGAACTCAGCAGACCTGCAGAAGGGATTTACCAGTGGTTGAAGCACTGTCTTCACAGATGTTCAGGGGCAGTGGGGGCTCCAGGCACGGTCAATGAAGGAAACAGTGCCTGTCCGCCCACCCTGCGTCTCACTGTGGCGACCTGGCTGTCGCTGCTTTTTGTCCTCTGCCGTGTTTGCGTGGCCTCAGTGCCCTCTCTGGTGCGTCTCCGCTGGGGCCCTCAGTGCTCGGGGCCTGGGGTGCACGGGTGCCGCCCTGGGCAGCTAATATGTCAGCCCAGTGCTGGGCCTGATCGAGGGGCGGAGACACAGCGGCTTCCAGCATCCAGTGACCTTGTCACCCAGCTCCATACCTTCTCATGGTGCTGGCTTTGGTGGCATCACCAGGTCTTTCCAGGTGCGGGGGCTTCTGTTCGACAGGCTACTGCCAGGGAGGACCTGGCGGCCTCCTTGTTCCCCTTTGCCATTGGAATGTCCCCTTGCAGTTTTTTTTTTTTTTTTAGACGGAGTCTCACTGTGTCGCTAGGCTGGAGTGCAGTGGCGCTATCTTAGGTCACCGCAACCTCTGCCTCCCGGGTTCTAGTGATTGTCCTGCCTCAGGCTCCTGAGTAGCTGGGATTACAGGCATGCACCACCACGCCCGGCTACTTTTTTTGTAGTTTTAGTAGAGAAGGGATTTCTCCATGTTGGTCAGGCTGGTCTCAAACTCCTGACCTCAGGTCATCCACCCGCCTTGGCCTCCCAAAGTGCTGGGATTACAGGCATGAGCCACTGCGCCTGGCCCCCTTGCAGATCTCTTTGATTTGGTTCTATAGCAGGCTTCTGTGGCAGGACTGGCTTGGGGAGGAGGGAGCCAGCAGCACACTGGGGAGTGGGGTCCCAGCTGGGAGGCTTGGCCTCTGGGCGACTTCATCCTGTTTTTTTTTTGGTTTTTTTTTTGTTTGTTTTGTTTTTTTTTTTGTTTTGTTTTTTGTAAGGTAAAACTCCTGGGCAGCAGATATGCAAAGGGAGAGTGCGTGGGCCTGGTGACCCAGGGCTGGAGCTGTCCCAGTAGAACCCTGGGCCGGGAAGGTGTGTGCTGCTCCCTGGCCCCGGAGGGCTGCCCTGCAGCCGGGCCTGCGGATAGGACAGCCGTGGGGCAGCTCAGTGCCCTCCCCTGAGGCTCACGGTGGCTCTGAGCACAAGTTCTGCCTAGTGGGCACTTGGGGGAGACCCAGCAGTGGATAGCACAGTCCCCACACCCAGCTCCCTGCACACCCAGGCCAGCCACCCCCCCTGCTCGTGCACACGCACGCACATGCTCTCACCTGTACACGCTCACACATGCACGCCCACTCGCACATGCTCACATGCACACGTTCACACATGCACACATGCTCACATGCTCTCACCATACACGCACATACTCAATGCACATGTTCCCATGCATGTGTGTGTACTGGGACCGAGCATCTCCCACGCACCTCTCCCCGCCCCACGCACCTCTCCCCGCCCCACGCACCTCTCCCGCCCCACGCACACACACACCCTGCACCAACCCCCCGACCAAAGCCCCAGCCTCTGGCCATCGGTCCTGGTGCCAGAGCTCTGCGTGAAGTTTGGGCCGCAGAGTGGCCCTCTGGGACTTCCATGTGCTGCCGTCTGATGTGTTCAGATGGGCTCACCGTTGGTTCGTTTTTACTGTATATTTATAGTAATAAAATCATGCAGCAATATCCTGTCTGCTCCTTCCTCTGGGTGCAGCCCTCGGGATTGTGGCTATTTCCTGACCCGGAGTTTTGCCGCTGGGTAGTTGGTGGTGGCTCCCACACCCTGGCAGCTCCATGGCCTCTGCCTGGCTTCCCTCCGGGGCAGTGAGCAAGGTGAGGGCTAATGAGAACGGGCAGCTTCCAGCCATCCCTGTCAGGGCTGGTTGTCTGGTTGGAGGGAAGCCACAACCTTGAGGTTGGGCTGTTTCCTGAACAGGTGGTGTGGGAGCCCAGGGCCCCCAGCTGTGAGTTGTCGTTCGGTCCCCATCTCTAGCCCCGGCTATTTCAAGGCGTTTGCTAAGTACCTGCTGTGTGTCAGCGGAGGCGGAACAGTCGAACAGCCGAGGGCGAGGGCCTGGCCGCAGGCTCCTGCCTTGCAGGCAGTGAGGTGCCCAGCAGCTCATCAGAATCCTGCCAGCTGTGGTTACTATTAGGAAGAAAGCGAGCGTGGTGGTGAGACGAAACCGTACAAGGACTCACTTAACCGGTCGGCAGGGAGGGCCTCTCCGAGGAGACTTAAACAGCCCTGAGGGCTGAGGAGGAGCTGGCCCTGGAAGAATGTTCCAGGTGGCAGGAGTGAGCCTGGTGTGTCCCCTGGGGACAGCTCCTGGCTGGAGTGAAGGCTGCTGGATAGATACTGAAGAGCTTGTAGGGGCTGCTGGAGTGTTTTTATAAGGGGGAGTCAGAGTGTTAAGAACAGGTTTCCAAGCAGAGGAGCAGTGCTAGAGCCCTGTGGCTGGTGTGTGGAGCCTGGACGGCGGGAGCAGGTCTAGCCACCCATGGTTGTGGGCTTGCAGGCTGGAGCCCAGCCCCAGGCCTTTGCACGGCCCCTGCTCCCCGGCCCAGGGAGTGGCCAGTGCCCCAGGGCACCCATCACACCACCGCCTACCACTCAGGGCCCCAACTCCTTTGGCGCAGGTCAAGCTGCCACCATAGCCCTTCTTCGACTGAAGACTGTGAGGCTGGAGGGGAAGCCCATGTTCTGGCCCATCAGTGCCTGCCCTGAGAAGGCTGCCACCCATGGACCCTGCAGCTGCTCTGACACGCCTGGGTCTGGCCCCATCCCAGTGTGGGTAGAGGGGTACCCAGGGTGTCAGACGGGTGCTTGCATGGGCCAGATTGGCTCCCCATCTACCTCCCAACAGACACAGCACTTTTTTTCATGTCTGGTCTTGGGGAGGAGCTGGAGCAAGGGGAGCCTCCCCTGCCGTGCGCCAGCGTCCCACAGACCCTGGGCACTGGCAGGGCTTGGCTGCCTAGGGGTGGGGGCCCTCTTTGGGTGGGAGGACCCTTCCCCTTGCTGCCCTCTCGCCTTCTGACATGGTCGCTCACCCTGGAATCTGGACTTCCCCTGCTGCCTGCAGCTGTCCCATGTGGCCCCTGACCCACTGGTGGCCATAGGAGGAGACAGAGGTGCCCTCTCTGGGTTCTTATTCTCCACATCTAACACCACCATGGACCTAACAGGTGAGTTTCCAGTGCCCACCCTCTGCCTACCTCTCCTCCTGCTTGGCTCCACTCAAGGCAGCCTTCTCTGTGCCGGTGAGCTTGGCCTCACTGCACAGCTCTCCTGAGACTGTGCCCCAGCCCTGGGCACCCATGCTGTGAGTGCAGGCGGGTGGTTCATGTACTTAGCAAATCCATTCCCCCCCCCCCCCGTGGGGAGGAAAGTGGCCTTGGGCCCTGTTGCTGGTGAGGTGAGCCTTGCCATCATGGAGTTCAGCGGACCTCGCTCTCTCGGCCTGTTTCTGATGTTTCTGAGCCTGAGACATCTCCAGGACAAACACAAGGTAAGTACCTCAGGCTCTTGTGGAATCGGGATCCTGTCTCTGTCACCAGCTGCTGGGTGTACTTAGGCAAGTTCTGTCCCTCTCTGAGCTCCAAGTTCCTCATCGTAAATTGGGGAAGCCCCTCTTCCCCCAACAGCACGGGGTGCCTGGCATGGAGGATGCTGGAAAGCTCCAGCCCCGGAATTTAAGTCACTTTCTGCTCAGCAAGCTGGGTCCACAGAGCCCCAGAGCTCCCAGTCGTCTGCCCTGACCCAGCGTGGACTCGGGGACTGGGGCGCTCAAGCCCTGCCTGGCCCTGCTTCCTGTGCTGTCCTGGATCGATCCGGCCAGCAGGGTGGGTAGGTCGGGACTGCTGTCGTGCGTGGCAGGATAAGGCCGTCGCCCTCCGGGCTCGGGTCCTGTGGCGCTGGCGGAGCAAGGCTCCGGGGCATTTCTGGCTTGTGTGGTCGTGTCAAGGGCGCCATTGCGGATGCACAGGGCCATGCGGGCCGGGTCCGCCTCCTGGGGAGAAACGGGTGAGCGCAAGGGGGATCGGCGCCATTGAGGGTGGAGAAACCGCAGGGATTTTCGGCTGTCTGCTTTGGGGCGCCAAGGAAGATGTTCGTCGCCCACAGTGTGAACCTTGAGCCACCACCGCACCGACCAGTCGACTGGGCGATCCCGTCGGAGGCGGGGCCGCCGCCCGGGGTGTACGACTATTGGGTGACGGCTGACGCTCACCGCCTGCCTTTGCACACCGCTCGCTGCACCTCTCGACGACGCGCCGCGGCGCTGCGAGGGGCTCGGTCCCGGGGCGCGCCGGCGATTGGCGGGGGAACGGGACCTGGGGGTGCGGCCGCCCGCGGATTGGTGAGGCGCGGCGGGGGCGGGCTCGCGCATGCTCTTAAGTGGCAGCGACGGGGACGGGGTCAGTGCCAAGATGTCGACGGCGGCGGTTCCAGAGCTGAAGCAGATCAGCCGGGTGGAGGCGATGCGCCTGGGGCCGGGCTGGAGCCACTCGTGCCACGCCATGCTGTACGCCGCCAACCCTGGGCAGCTCTTCGGCCGCATCCCCATGCGCTTCTCGGTGCTGGTGAGGACGGGAGCGGGCGTGGGC